ATATTGCTAGCTGCTGGTGCATACATAATGATATGAAGATGTCCTCAATTTATGTGCCTATGCTTTAAGCAAACATGCACCCTGATAATAGAAATAGCTGCCATCATATACTTCTTACTGTAGTGTAGTTCACCAGACCTCCCTCTGTATCTGTTTCTCTTTGTGGGTACTTTTTAGTAGAAGAGCTTTGGGAAGTAGGAATTGCCTCAATTTTTGGCAAATAACTTTACAATAATACCTCATTAATGAAGGGCAGAACTCAGCTAATAGATGTAGCAAGCATTTTAATGCATTCAATCTGCTTTTAAATGTCAGCAGCGACTGCACATTTGAAGTTTTGTTGGGCAACTGATTCCATAACCTCCAGCCACAATTAACCTGTAATCAGGTTGAGACATGTTGAGTAACATACCAAGGTAGATCTCAATATATTATATGGTTATAAATATAACTCTGGTTAGCAATGCCCACTCAAGTCCTCAGGACAAAAAACTTCAAAACAAATGCAAGTTGGTCAGTTCCACTATGGCTTTACTCTTTGGTAGTTAGCTTTCACTGTGCAGAATATATTTGAAGTGATGCTTAGAGTCAGCACGAGCCAAACGTCATAACTTTGCTAGCAGGATTTTGAAACTAAAATCAGCAACAAGAAGAAATCAAGAATATCAGCTCCTTGGCCCTGAATGGGAAAGAGTTCCTTCTTTTACATTTTCCATCCAGCATAAAACTAAGATAAACAAGTAAACCAAGGGAAAACAAACCAAAGCACTCATGAAGTAGTGTAGGTGACCTCATCATTGAATCATTGAGTTGGAAGGGATCTTTAAAGGCCATCAAGTCCAACTACTCTTCAGTGAATAGGGACATCTACAGCTACATGGGGTTGGTCAGAGCAACTGATACAGGCTTTGATGGATGGGGCTATTCACAGTCTTTCACAGGTTATCATCTTGTTAACCTCACTTTTGGTGTGATGCCTCTTGTTTTAGCTTCCTGTAAAGCAAGATGTCTGGAGTTCTTTTACACTCTTCAAGCATCTGAAGGGTACTCTAATGTTAATTGTATCTACCCAGATTTAAACACTACGGGTTTTTTTTTTTTTTTTTTTTTTTTTCCCCAATAAATAATTGAATTTTTAGTTTGATCTTGACTCACAGTGGATAACCACCTTCTGGCAGTATGTGCCTCTTCCTGGCAAGTCTCCCATCTCCATAACAAATTAAGCATCCCAGTATGGAATCACTCATCAAACATGATCTACTGGGCAATGAGATCAGCTTGCTGAAGAGCAATGAATCCAATAAGGCAAGAGGCAGGAAAAAAATATCACTGTTCATAATAAACACATTAAAATAAGATGTTTCTGTGCATGTGGGAATAGCGTATCTAAAAGATTTCAAATTCAGAAACAGCAGAATGGGAACAAGAAAATTTCTAAGGTGATATAAGAATCTGGCAAGTTGATCTATGTTCTGCCTCCTCCTGGGATTAACAGAGAATGTTCAACCTAAAAGGGGCAAGAAATTTCCTTTATGCATTCTTTTCTTTTTACGTTGCTTCACACATAGACTTTCACATAAATATGAGGAAAACTTCACTCTTCCAGCCTAATGAAATACCTGGTATTTTCTTTCATGCAGGAACAGATGGGATTTTCATAGAAATTCAGCTGTCACAATACTTAATTACTGCAACACATAGATGCTGAACAGAGCCAGCTGGAAAATTTAGAAGTTTCCACTTAAAATACTAAACAAAAACAAACAAAACAAGAAACCCCCATCAAAACTGGATGTCCAGTTGGTGTCCATTTTATTATAACAGCCTAAGTTTGCTCCTTTTTATACATCCAATTTCTACTTTACAACTGGAAGATTTCAAAAGAAAAAAAAAATCTTTTTTTTTTTCTTAAAAATTGTTACTTATTAGTAATGCCCGATTTCACTGATTAAAAATTTAGGAAGTGATTACATCATTAAGAGATACAGAATGCTGAGCCCTGAGGAAAACAAGTACACGGGATCCCAAACTCTGTTTATGCACTCCTTCTAATGAAATTTACAGGTATAAGGCCCTTTTAGGGGTCTTCAGAAGAACTTGCCCTTCAGAAGAACTGAATGGGTTGAGTAAGATGCAGTGATGTTCCAGTGACTGCAACACAGCCATGCCAGTGCAAAGACACTTTCTACCACTTCAAGGATTAGGGACTTGCAATTCCTATGGCTTGATGAGTCAGAGACTAACATGGGAGATCAGATTTCATACATGACTGTTTAGTTTAACAGTGGTTTAGAAGGTTAGAATGCTTTTCTTCGGCCACAAACCAGTGGACCTCCTGCAGGAGATCTTTAGGTGACATTGTACATCATGCTGCAGGTCAGACTAGAACATTACAAAGTTTCCTTCCAGCCCTTCTGCACAAAGTAATCTCTGAATCCAGGGCTGGCCCAATTCAGTAAGCTTTGCTTGTTTCCTGGTGAATTGTTGTTCCAAATCTGATTAACTACTGCAAGGAGGGCTGAGATTTCAGCTATACTGCACAGAGAAGTCATGCAAAGATTTGACTGGATAAAGAAACGAGTGGTAAGAAGAAACCAGAGGATGCAAGACTATGCATCATGAAAATGCAACATGATTTGGAAATGAACAAATAACAAGGAAAAGAATGAAAATGTCAATCGATATAATTATACATACCATCACACCCATTCGTTCTCTTCCTGTTCTCTCTTCCCTTTTGCAGCCATTCACTCTCCTCTATAGAAAAGAGAATAATACTGCTATCATTCCCTCTAACTTTTTACATCATAATTATTTTAATACACAGATGAATTCAGAGGGAAACTTTGTTGTTTCCATCTTTAGACAGACTCCATACTCTATTTCAGTGGCTGCTCCTTTGAGCTTATTTCTGCATGGCAAGATATGAAGGTCTTTGATATGAAGGTTTCTCAGACTTATCCTCATTTTAAAAGTACCTCTATTTGCAGACATTCTTTCTCATCTTTTTTTCTGCAATTACTCCCCTCATAGTCAAGTTCTGCAAGATGTTTCTTCCATCTGGGCTTGGTATTTATTTCTCTCTTTCAGAGATGGAAATTACTTCATCACCCCTGAATTCATGACACCAGACATATGTAATCAGAAGAGCTATGCTGTTTCTTACCGTATCCCATATCGCTGACTTAGTCTTATGGGCCTCTGTAACAGTGATTAACACAGACTATATGCTAAAATCATATAATTTTTCAATAGTTTTCATTCCACCTGAATTCTTCTGAAAGACATATTCTTACCCCAAAAAAAGGGGGAAAAAATGGCAGTCCCAACAACAGGATTTCCCTCAGCCCCAAACCCCATCATGTCATTCAGAAGGATCTCTTCTGGTACCACAGATGTTTTGTGCTTTTATATGAAACAGGAGACTAACTGATCTCCACAAGTCTGGAACAGTGGCTCCTTTTATTTTCAGCCAGTGTGGGTACCACATTAATCTGAGAAGAACTGCTGGGGAATTATTTTTTCAGAGGTTCATTCATAGCAAGGTTGGGGCAGGGGGAGTGCAATCTAGACAGAAGTCAGCACAGAAGACTTGACTGTGCTTCACTGTCTAGTTTATGGCTTTCATACATTGCCCAAGGACTGCGTGGCTATGGAGGATAAATCACTTTCTCACAGAGCTCAGTACGCTGCTGGACATCTCAACCACAAAGACTACATAAAAAGCATTGTTAAATGCAAACTGGTTGCAATAGGACCAGCTACACAATTATGGCAAAAATCACAGAGATCAGCCCACTGCTGTGCTACCAGATGTATTATTATACAGAGATATGTGAGTGCTGCTCCAAAAGTAATACCGCCTCTTTTATTATGTTGGCCCAAGATATCAGAGGCAGATGTTGGTGGTTTGGCAGTAGAGGATGAACTTTCCCAGCAATGGGGAAAAAAAAAGAAAAAAACAACAGTGTTTTGTAGCTCAGAATTTTATCTACTTATCTTAGCCATTGTAATTTCCACAGAAAAAATAAGACACATTACCTTCGGAGCCACCTGTGTAAGTTACATGCTTGAAATGCAAGTTTAAAACAGGATATCTGGGAAAACGTCTGAATAGGTCGCCCGTGCTGTGTGAATTATTCATTTCAAAAGCAGAGAGTTGTTTTTCATTGGGAAATTGTGCTTTGTGATACTTTCCTACACAGAAGCTATATATTATCTTAACCCAATGTTGGATACAGGAAACCAGCCTTATGGAACAAAGTTTCAGAAGAGCTCATCAAATGTTTCTAGCAAATACTTGTCAACAGTATTGAGCATAAACAACCTCATAGAATTCAATCGAGCAGCCTCACAGGTGCAACCAGGTTGAAGACTCTTCTACTGGGATCTGCCTCCAGTGAAGAACAAAACTTGGATTCTGAAGTTTTTGACTCAGTATCTTTCGTGAGAACATAATCACATACTACAAAATGCAAGAAACCAAATGATGGGTTATTTCTTTTCATCTTGTTTAAAGAAAGGTCACTTGATGGGTACTACTTTTCCCAGTGAAATCCCACCTTGCAGATGTACTGGTTTTGGTAAGCCAAATTAGAGTTGGATGGAAATCCAAACCGAGAAGCAAACCATGAACCATAACTCACTGCCTGATAGCAATGAATACGCATAGATGCCACTGAAAGTTCTCACCTAGCCACATAAGCATTTTACAATTGCTTCTTAATATAAAGGATAAAGCCTTTTCCCTCCTTTTCCCATGGCCAGTGCTCGTATAATAACTCATCTCTGAGTAATAAAGTAAACAACATTACAAAATAATTTCTGAAGCCAAATATCTGATAAAGATGATTAATGCCTCATGAAATATCCAAGTCATATTTGCAATAATTGCAATATTTGAGATGGATAACAGAATAGAATTATAGGATTTGTTGTAAGGCTGAATTATCTACAGGAAGTTCAGGCGAATGTCACATTACCTTCTAACTCGCTGGTACCTGCCAGGCACACTCCTTAGCAGCTAGTTTATTTGTTTTCAGGGTTCTAGAAATAGAAAAATTAAAGTTTTGAAATAGACTTTGTAAAAATACCTTCAAAAGTAAGATCATTCTTGAAAGAAACTGTATTGGCCTAGAAACAACTACAGAAATGTACAAACATTACGAAGTGCTTAGGGGGAAATAGTATCAAATAGTTGCTCAAAACAAAATTTCACGTTTGTTCAAGAAAAATGTTGCCAACAAGTACAGCTTTCTTTCAGTGGGAAAAAAAAAAAAAAAAAGACACATTTCTTATTCAAAATACATTTCCCAACACAGACTCAATCTTAAATGCTTGGCAAATGTCTTGAGAGAAAAAACAGACTGAAAGGTACCTTCCTTACAGGAACTGAACCATTTTCATAATGTATTCCACAGAATACGATAGACTTTATGACTGACATTCTTTTTTCTTTTTTTCCCTTTAGATCACATAAATGAGTTCTCCTCCAGCGTGTGTCCGGGCTGTCTCAGTAGCTAGCTGGTGAACAATAAGATAACATCTGATAAAAGAAGAATAGGAGAAAAGTTACTATTGTTCACAACTGCCTACTCCAAACTTCTGAAATTTATTCACATGAAAGTATCTATTACATCATTTTGTTAGTAATGACTGAACACTTTGTAATGTTTGTTATAAGCTAAATTCACAACTTGAGTTGTTCTGGCTGAACACAACTTAACAGTTTTGTTTTGTTTCCATGATGCCTTAAGGTCCTTTTATAATCAGTCACTTCTCTGATGCTAATGAAAAGCCTTGCCGCAAATTCTCTAACTTAATTATTTTTCTATGACCACTCCTATACCCCCCAGCCCCAGATTGCACCAACATGAACACTGGCAGCAAACAAGAACAAACAGGGCATGGAAAAGGTCAAAGAAAATTTGTTTTCAACTTTAAAGGACTTTCCCTGTAAAACCTTACGGCATCTGCTGAGTCCTTGTAGCCCCTAGAATTTTCTGTACTCCTGCCAACTGTCTATTTCACATGGAACAGCAGGAAAGAAATATCTAGAAGAAAACTGGCACTGAGTAGTATGCCTCTCTGGCCATTCACGCTACAGTCACAGTCTGATGTGAAAGGAACAAGGGAGAATTTTCCCCCCATTCCTATGGCCAAAAGGAAAAATCAGGGAAACGCTTTGCAGGATTAACCAATTACATCTTGTTGGGTAGGGATACAGCTAAGCCACTGCATGTTATATGTATTTTGTACAAGTCAGTCCCTAATAGCAGGCTGTACAGCTGTCTTTTCCTTAAATTTTGTACATTATCATTATTAGTGAAGATACCCCCACTTGAGACCTTTCTGGGCAATTACAAAATCCTGGAACAGGTGTAGGGCTGAAGATTAATGGTAAGCGACTTTGTCATGGCTTCTCTCCATACCCACCACAATCCACAGTGCCATGGCAGAAGGCATGACGGAAGGCATGACAGAAGTAGCAGCATGGCCTTTATTTGCTCCTCTAGTGCTCCTTTCATCACTTCTCCTGAAGATCATTGACTAAATTCCCTTCCTTCCTTGTTAGCACAGAGAGCATTTGGTCTGAAATCAGCTTAGTCATGATCACCAGTGCAATTACAAAGTGCTTGTTTAATTGAAGGAAAGCCTTTGTTTTCCACACCCAATCTGATATTATATTACCCTGACTGTAACTGCAAAGATTTATAGAACTTGTACATGTCAACAGTGGCAATTTTTCTAACAAATTCTAGGGCAAAGGAACATTAGCAAACAACCAAGCAAAAAAGCTAGCAAGAAAGCAAGAAAGAAAAAAGTAACTTTGGAAACAATCATCTTTCTTTTATGCACAAGGAACAAATAACATCATGAGAATCAGGCATAAATGGAAATCAGCCTGCAGCTTTCACAAGTGAATAATCATGCACAGAAAACATAATGTTTTTGTTACAAATAAAGATGTAATTTGCAATTAACTAAAGAGCAATAACTATTTCTTCTAGAGCCAATGTAATGTGATTTTTACAGCGGACATATTCTGATCTCATCAGCTTCCCTATGTGCAGAGAAGCCTATCTTGAGTTTTCCTGTTACAGATCAAAGTGACGGTTACAGATGTTAGTAAAACAAAGCCTCCTCTAGTATCAAGCAAAACAGGATAAAAGGCAAAAAGGCAAGAAATTGAGCACACGAATATTCGAGTACTTGGGAGAGTATTTCTCCATTCCAGGAAAGGTGAACATCTACTAAATCCTGGATTTTACCAAACACAGTATTATGATAGATTAATAGTTACTATGTATGTGTCAACTTTCCTGAGAATCCAATTTTTATATTCCTTGCTTTACAAGGACAGTTGTTCATATGTTTATTTGCACTGCCATAATGCAGAGATGCAGGCTGTGATCAGAAGTCTATTGTATAAGGTGTTATACACACAGCTTCAGAGAGCCTTCAGTCTAAACAGGGAAATTCTGGAAGTCCCACAGGGAAACAAATGCTTGCAAAGTTTCCAAAAGAGATCCAAAAAGTCTTTGGAAAAGCACATTTGAGTAGCGTTTCATACTCAACTGAAACTGATGTTCTTGTTTTGGTAATGTATTTCCCTGAGTTTGTGTCATTAGGAGTCTCCTCTGTTTTTTTTTCAACAATCATATCAAAAGAGTTTCAGATAATGAAATTTAAGTGAGGCTCAAAATTCTATCCATAGCAAAATCTTCCTTAACCAGAATCCCTTTCTATCAGAGAGTTCACCGTTTAATTAATCCTTGCAATTCATGCTTAAACATCAGGTACCAGGAATTCCTTGATTATTCCTCATCACAAAACATTGTGAAACTTCCACCACCTCAATAGTTTCAAAATTAAGGCCCCAAATTTCTTCAGAAAGACATTTTGAATAGCTCTTCAAACTAAACGATGCCCAGATGTAGCTCATGTAATAAAAATGAGCAAAGGAAGAAAAAAGGTATTTCATTACACATTTGTCTGCATCCATGCAGAGACAAATAAATATATACATGACAAAATGGAAGATTACCCTCTAAACATACATGTGCATGTGAGAAAGAAATGTGGGTATGTTAAACAGAAAATAAATGGTGGATGAGGCAAAGGGGTACAAGGAGATTACATATCTGGGCGTGCTCTTGCTTGAGGACACAATTTTCCATCTGTCTTGTAGAATGCATAAAAAACACAAAGAGAAACAAAAACCCAAGAGTAACACCAAGAGGATGCTTATGTTCATGTTCCAGTCCTTTGTTTCTGAATCTCTTCTCTCTTTACTTAACAGAAGCACAATTCCTTTGGCCTCTGCATGGACTTCTGTATTCTCCAGGAGTCAGTAGAAAAGAGAGGTCGACAGACACATCATGTGTGTACTATTGGGCTGCATGGTTGGTGGAGTTTCACCACTTAAACATAATAAATGAAAAGATCTGCACTGAAGTTCAGCCTTACACAGTGGCAAGAAGTGGAGATGATTTAAGAAGTACCATTTTGGACATATGCACTGAAGGAAAAGGTGGGAAGAAAGAAGGTAAAGAAAAGCAAATTTTTCAATGATTATTCAGACTAAGACTTTAGCCTTCCATTGTGAACATGTAAATACACATTTATTCTTCTGTAGAAATGTTGGTAGTTCAGTGAACAAAAATCTGACTTGTATTGAACTGTTGGAGGTTAAAGGAAAGAACTCACTGCCAGTGAGTTATCTTAATAAAAGATTCAAAGTAAATGGTGGCCATATTGCCCCCTAGTAGTTGTTAGCTGATGTTCTTGTATTTTAACAGTTGAACATGGTAAAGTTACTCCACAAAAGTCAGACTGCAGATTTCAGTGTTGTTTTTCTGTTAAGTGAAAAATACCATGAAGAATTTCTTTCTTCATAACCCATCTGTTGAGTTGCTAACGATGTGAGACTCTACTAGAGCTGAGCAGGCTGATTTTGTGAAAAGCAGAACATTTTGGTGAGATTTTGGTAAGAAAAACCTTGCATAAGAAAAGCTGTTCAGCTGTACAGGCGTCTGACATGCTGTGTGGCAGACAGGAGATCTAAACCTGTTACTTAGTAAATGACCTCAGAAATTTTGGAGCACAATCAGAGAAGACCAAAGCCCGAAGATTTTTTAAGGCAACTGCAAGTCAAGGACCAGTTAGTAGGGAGGATGTCAAATGAAACTTGAACAGCTTCACAACTGAAGACTGCTGGTAGATTTCCATTTATAATAAAGGAGGAGACTGCGGAGTTACTGGACGAAATTTGCTAAAACACTGTCATGTACATGTTTTTATAAAATTTTACTAAAAAAGTTCCTCATGTATTAGAGTTTTAGCTAACATTCATGTAAAATTCCTTTAAGTCAGTTGGTGAGCAAGTACTTACGGTGTATGATTCATTTTGTTTTCACCTTTGCCAGCAATAGCTGAAGATGTGTCAGAAACGATGTTATGGCATACAGAGATTCTTGTTTCATTTTGAGGCTAAAACCAAAGCAATTTGAGAAAGTCAGGGGATGTGAGGCAAAGATAACAGAGGAGAACAAAGCTTTCCTGGTATTTTTTTCAAATAGGCCTGGACTGAAGCCTTAATGCTACTGAATTCCAGAGATGCTGTAATGGCATCTTGGTTTCATCCTGGACACAACTCCTCAGTCATGCAGCTGCTCATGCAGTGTTGGAGTAGGAGGTCTCCAAAGAAAGTCCTGACCTGTTCAGACATCTCACTGCAGTTCAGATGCAGCACAAATGCAAAATATCAAATAACACTTGCAAGTTCTATGCATGGCAAGCAGCCACATCTCTGTAGATTCTAACTTTAGGCAAAACACTCCTGTAATAGTTTCTCTAGACTTTTGTTACATCGAAGCTATTCTTAAATTAGATGGGCTTGTTTTGTTTTGTTGTTTTGGTTGGTTGCTCATTGTTAGCTTGAAAAATGAACAACAAATTGAGTCTTAAATATAATGTTTCTATTCAAGTGGGAATAGTGGTCTATAGATTCACTCTGAAGCAACGAATACTTGAAATTTTAACACATGCTGGAAAAGCAACTGGCATTTTGACAAATCACTGAAGAGATGAAAATAGGGAATTTTCTAGCTGAAGTCTCTATTACTTCTCTACTGTTCACCTGACCATGATATTTTTCCCTTTAGCATTAACTGGAACTACAGTATAATCTATACAGCAGACAGAGAGGTTCCTATGCTTTGGATAAAGTATTTCAATCTATGGCATTTTTTCTCTGTAGTGGAGTCTTAAGACTTCGAGTAACAAGCAGCCTTTTTTTTTTTTTTTTTTTTTTATGGCACATACAGGAGTAAAATTCAATGTTAAATTTGCTGAATTAAACTTGTCATTGTCAAGAATCAACAAAGAGAGATTTATGTAATATGCTTTCCACTAAAGTCAAGGACTGAGGTCATGGTTTATGTTTCTTATGTAATAAGCATCAAATGAAAGACGCAAAAGGATTCTGTTTTTAAGACAGAGTTAAAATGAGATATTTAATATCCTCAAAGTTAGTGTGTATGATATTGCAAAGTCCACAATGTGCTGCAGTGTCAATTGCTGACTATGTAATTAGAGAGATTAAATGGATTGTGTTTCAAGAATAACCAGTGAAGCTATTCAGAAATAATTTCTGCAGCCTCTCAAGATGAGCTGTCTATTATAACTGCATGGCAGACAAGGCAGATACAAAACTCTCCTATGGTTGCAGGCTGGGTGAGAACACGCACCTTGATCATCCCAGCACAAGCCTGAGATTCTCTTGAATATAAGCCACCAAAAGAAGCTCTGCATTTCCTCCAGCTTCACACAAAGACCACATAATACCACAATTTTACATGCCTCACAAATCAGGTTGACTGCAAAACAGTCCTAAGTTTATACAAAAGATGTATGAATATTGCAGACAAATCAAGACCGCACAAAGCTTCTAGGCTACATGGAAATAAACTGCCCAGCTAGAGATGATGGTAAAAATTTATCACCTGCAACTTTCTTGCACATTTTTTCTTGTTTGGTATTTTGTACACTATTAGGTGGTAATCAGTTATCACCACCAGTGAGCCAAAGCCGTATAGACTGTTCTTTCTTGGCAAGAATGGAAGAATTGCAGGGTTAATTAATTAATGTTATAGTATATAAATAAAAAAAATATTAAATACTTTATAGATGCAATTTTTTCAGAGTTGTATAATTACACAAAAGCTCCATCTCTGGTTCAGGAAGTCTCACAACCACAGATCCCATGAAGCTGAAGAGTATCACTGCTTGCTTACCTCATCCTTGGGCATCCACATTTAACACCTATGAGGAGATGATTCAAAGCAAGAAGAACCTGTAGTCTGTTTTGGTACATTTGATGCTGCAATAAAAAAACAAATAAGCACAACATCAGATGGACCTCTTACACTATTTCTTTTCACCAAATGTAAGTTTTGTTAGATTGCTTTTCCACTGGTATACAAAAGGAAAATTGAATCAGGGCTAGAGGAAGTGTGTATGAACAAGGCATGTATGAGCACAGCTGAGGTCTTGATTCTAGTAACTGAAGAATTCAGTTTCAGAAAAACAAAGACAGCATGGTTATTATGACAAAAAGTACCCTAAGAACGCATTATGAGGTCAAACTCAAAAAAATCTGTGTTGGTGGTATGAAAAACTAGGTACCGGCGTAGGCTTGTGGGTTTTTTAATTCTTTTAATTATCTCCTCATAAAAGTTCCAGGCACTTTAGAATAACAATCGACCAAGAAATAAACATTCTATTCACTCTACGCTTTCAACTTCAGAGCAAACTGGTACCTGACAGGAGACAGTCTTTAAAGAATTTCCCAGTGCCTCCAGTGGGTCAACTTTTCTTCACCATCAGCTATCACTGTTAGTCTGCCTACTGGCTTGGAGTGGTTTTTTTTTTATTATTTTTATTTTTATTTTTTAGAGAGTCTGTATTTTTTATCTGTATTTTTTTTTACAAGTTCCTCCGATCTCTGCTACATCTGCCTAACATCTAATTAAAAATAAAAATCAAAAAACAAAGCTGGAGAATCAGGAAAATATTATCCCAATTTTAGGAGAAAGGATGGTATCTTTCTACCTTTTTTTTTTTTTTTTTTTGCTTTGATAAAGACTTTAGTAAGTTAATCACCACTCTATTTAAAATAAAGCCTAAATGAAGAACAGAAGCTTGGAAAAACGAAACTACAGACCTGTGTCTGCCAGTTAGTTGTCGCTGGTGTTTATCGTGACACAGGCTTTCAAGGATGTTTTTCCCATAGCCCTGCAATTCATAAAGCCTCTCTTCCATGTTGATCACAAGTGCTTAATGAAAGAGGTATCTTTCCCTATGACAAATATTTGCCTCCTTTTGTAAGAACTGATTACCTCTAAAAATTCTACATGTCCACCAATTTTAGCTAAAACAAAACTGAGTTCAGAAGTTCCTTAGAGGGTTGTTCAGATGGACAGGAGCACACAAGTACACAAACACAGAGGCGGTAGTTAGGACTCATTTAGGAAACCTGAGCCCATGCTCAAGGGTGGGTTGAGAGCCTTCTGTTAAATCCAGCTGAGTTCATGAAATGGTCGGGCTACTGGAGGTTTGCGTAAGGCAGCTGCACAGCGGCATCTGACCTACTGCTTAGCTGAGCCCCAGCTCTGCCACCAGCAGCACCACCAACCAGGAAATTAGCAGGTGGGAGGAGACAGGGAACAAAAGGTAAGGGGAAAAAAAAAAGAAAGAAAGAAAAAAAAAAAGAAAAAAGCTTTGCTAGCTAATCTGGTTGATTGATGTGATTAATTGCCACCCACACAGGTAGGTGTTGCTACTGTTTATTTAGCACTCTGCCAGCAACAAGTGGTTGGGATTCCTTTTGGTTGCTCCATAGACTTTGTCTACCTGGAAGTCAAAACCAGTTGTGCTTTATGCATCACCACTAACTGAACAAAACATCAGGAGCATAGGGTAAACAATCCTCAACAGCTGGATGGCAGAGAGACTGCAGGCACTTATCTCTTACCAGGAGCTGCGAGCAGGGGGAGACAGACAACATTCCTTAACAAAACTCATTTTCTTCTGAAATGGTTCCTTCATCAGAAGGGTGCTAGTGTAGCACTGAGTAAAAAAACTCACAGATATATTAACTCCTTGAAGCTTGCAGGCTTAAAGATTTAAAAGCATCTCCTTCACGTTACAGTTAGCAAAATGGGGGGAAGGCAAAAGGGAAAAAAAAAGAGACATAACAGGACAGTTCTACTGAGGAAGGAAAATTAAATTCAAGAACACATAAATTGTGTAAAAAGTGCTTGGAGCAGGAACTACTTTTATTTGGGATTTTGGTTCTGTGCTTACACATCCTGCCTGGACAACATTTAGTAGGAACTCCTACACTTACGAAAGATAGTTTTTTAAAAAAAAAAAAAAACATAAAATATTCTAACGTAGAATACATATATGCATATTTTCTTTTCACGAATATATCTTTCTAAAAATCTTTTCCAATATTAGCCACTGATGAAAAGTATATTTTGAATACAACTATGCAAGTCTGCAAGAGTTGAATGACTGTTCACTCTTACCAACTGGTGCATGTAAAGATAAGTTTCTGTTCCCCTGTCAATCAGAGCAGTTAGCATTTCAGGTATTGTATCCTTCTAGAGATCAGGTTGATTTGCACCAGTTTCCACATATTAAACATAATAGTGTGCTACAAACACGCCAAACATTTTCTAAGATTTCATCTTCAGTCTAGCTGGCAACATTTTTTCATCACATTAGGACTTCCCAGTAAGTCTAGGAACATGCATCTCCTTCAGTAACCCGCACAGCTCCAGGCCTGTTCTCAAGACACAACATGCATGCAGATACTTGGCAAAAGAAAAACCTAGACTATGGGAAAACATACTTTGGTCAATGATCTATGCCTTAGAAGAGAGAAAACATATGAGAAAAAGAGGTAAGTTGATCAGCAGCTCTGTTATAAAAGGAAAGCTATGGAGGGAGCTTCCAGTACATTGTGTCATGCTGCTTCAGTGCTTTATCTAAGCCAGGGAACATACTGAGTGTGGTTTTCCCAGCTGAAAATAGGTGTCCATTGTTTTCACTTTTGGTCAGAAGCCAGTTAGTTGTCAAACAGGCTCATCACAAAATTGTTAGTGTGCAAAGCAAAAGAAGAATACTTAACGTACATGTTCAGTGTGTCAGAAATAAAGTGCAAGTATTTCCATCTGGAATGGAATGGATGGTACAACTTTGTTCACAGGCAATCAAGATGCAAATCTTCCTATTAAGATTGGGTTGACCCAATGGATGAGGATTTATAGACAATTGGCCTGCAACACCCAGAATAGGCATTACACAGAATGTTTTAAATTCTGTGGGACAACTACAAAATTATACCCCCTCTTGAGTGTAGCACCGGGGA